AACAAATTCATCTTCAAATCTCAGAAAAGAAAAAAAAAATCAACATCATGAACAAATCTCAGAACAAATTTTTCTATTCTTAAGTGCTTTTAATAAGGTCTAACGAACTAAAATTATGACTATCGGTATAAGGCCATACCATATAAAGACCCTACTTCTAATTATTTTCTCTTTTTGTTTTTACTGAGATATTTACCCATAAACTTAGTTTCAGTTTTAGAGAGAGAGAGATGCATAATTAGTAATAGTATATTTCCAATCTCACCCAGCATTTAACTTCTAATTACGAAGAGTTCCTTGCCAACGCTTCTCTATCAGTCGGACAACAAATTAATTGTGTTTTTTTTTTTGGTAGAACAAATTAATTGTGTTGATGATTAGATAAACTTGTGTATCCACTGACCACAATTAAATATATGTATGCATGTAATATTCAATGTATATGCATAAATCTATATAGGAAAATTATAGTAAATAGTATATTTTAAAAATTAAATTAAGTAAATAGTATATTTTAAAACTATTTGAAATAAATAGTCATTTATCATGTAAATAATTCATTTATGACTGGTAAAAAATAATTTACGTAAAAAAAAAATTCTTATTTACGTGAGAAAAATCTTTTCACTAATCAAAAAAAGAAAATTTGCATGAAAAAAATATTTTTTTCTAACTGTAAATGAAACATTTACATAATAAACTGTTATTTACTTCAAACAATATTAAAATATGTTATTTATTTCAATTATTTTTTATAAATATGCTATTTACTTCGTTCCCTCACGAGAACGAATATCCATTTAGGTTCCCTCGGAAGTGTGAGGCGTGAGCTAAGAAAAACAAATATCTTTTAAAGAAAATTCTAAGGAGTAATCTATTAAATTTAATAGTTCAAAAACCAACAAGTAATGGTATATGTAGGACTTACCTGTCGATACACTAATTACAATACGTGATATTTTGCAATTGAAGTACGCTAAATATGGAGTAATATTGTCGGGTGCTAAGCATGGTAATTAGTGCTTTTTGGCATTTTATTTTTAGGTGACATATTTAAGGCGTAAAATTAGTAACATCGGTCATAAATTCCATCTTCTAATCTCCATGCACTGCTTTGGCCATTTCATCATGACTTCACATTGGAGGTTTTGTCTGAACGAAGAAAAAGCTGCAACAAGCCTGCCTAAGGATAAAATGTAACAGAAAATGTAACAATCAAAACCGAACTACAAGCTGGCTAATTATACAATAAAATGTAACAGAAAATGTTCATGACTGGTCGAATGAATTAATCTATTATGGCCGAGAACATATTTATTGAGTTGTGAACAACAGAAAAGGCAAGGATAAATTAGTTTATTTGTTTCATGTTCAATTGGGAATGCTGATTCCTCGAAGTGTTAGCAAACTCTCTCTAATTTTCTTTATAAACCTCTAGAGCGACATCACCTTGTTCTGGAAAATGGCCAGCTTTACAAATAATGAGAGTAGCTAATTGCAAACCTATATTGGCCTCGTTTGGCACACCGGACATGGACTAAGATTAGGAAAAATATTTATCTCATGTTTGGTGACAATTTTAGACTGAATAACTCACTCAAAGATTCTAAAATAGTCCAAGTCGGTGGAATAAATAATCCTCTAAAAATAGGTGAGATTATCAGTCCAAAGCTTTGGATTAGAATATTTCTCACCCCAACACATCACCACCAGACATGCAGCAGCCCCACCTCCGGCGACCCCCCAGCCCCGGCGAGCCCCATCCCCGACGACCCAAGCCCTGGCGCCCTGGGGCGACCCAGATCTGCCAGTCCCGACAACGCTTGTCGCAGCTCCCGACGACCTAGAACCGTCGCAGCTCCGTTTCGGCGAGAGAAAGTGAGAGAGAGAGAGAGAGAGATATATATATATATATATATATATATATAATCGGGAAAGAGAGAGAGTTTGTTTTTTTTTTTTTTTTTCCCTCAAATAATCAGATTTTAAATCTGATTTTGTATGAAAATTTCCCAAATCTTTTTTTTTTCTCAAATCTAATTGTATGAAATATTCCATAAATTTTATTTTAGTCCAATCCGATGATTTAACAAATCCCATTTCAACCCAATCAAGTCCAATCCCCTCATAATCTTATCCAATCTAAAATGCTAAACAGGGTCAATGTATAACACAAGGGCATAAAATTATGCAACCAATAATGATACCTAGCTAAGAAAAGAAGTTGGAAGAGCAGTATAACCAAATCGTACGTTAACAAGTAATTAACCAGAAAATACCAATAATTTTTTTTGGCGGAAAAAATACCAATAATTTAATGGCATAATTGCAAGGTTTCCAAACTTTTTTACCAATTTACACTTGGGCCCTGAAATTAAGAAATAGGACTTTTTTCTCAAGAAAGAAATAGGATTTTTTCGGTGAATTAATTAAGAGTATGATCAAGTAGCGCACAATTATGTAGCCTAAAAGACATGCAAAAAAAAAAAATATATATATATATATATATATGTGGCCTAAAAAAGTTTTAGTCCCACTAAACCCGGTAGTATTCATATTTGAAGGGAGAATAGAGATTTTATTAATATTTTTCTTTTTTTTAATAAATAAGTAAGAAACCATATTAATTCATTATACTATTAATTATACTATTTATTATAGTATAGTAATTATAGTTATAAGGTTGAACATTTGCTATTATGTTTATAATAATCATATATTATATTTTAATATTATAATGAATAGTATTAAGTTTATACTGAAAAATAATAAGTTGTCTACTTAAATCTCCAAATATCTCTATTTTTTATTATTGCAATATATATATAATTTGTATGTCTGAAAAGATTACCTTTTAGTCGAGCTTCTCTCTCTGTCATTCGCAGGGAGGGGGGAGGGGGAAACCGGGGAAGGGGGTGCTCTTAAATCCCATTAATTGCTCACTTGGATGGTCTGGTAGACAAGCTGTTTATGGCCAATGTTTTTTATGTTTCCTCGGAAGTGTGAGGTAAGAAAATCATATTTTAAAACCGTGCTTCCAGTCCGTATAGTAATGGTATACATGCAGTAGGACTCACCTTTCAAGGCATAATCCACATATGAGAGAATTACGTGATATTTTGTAACTGAAGCACTGCACTAAGTACATGTGGGCGATATGTAATGTCTGGTGCTAAGCATGTTAATTAGTGATTTTCGGCATTTTATTTTTAGGAGGCAAATTTAAGGCATAAATAAGTGACTGTAGCCATAAGTTCCATCTTTGTAATCTATACAGTACGCGGCCACCACATGCAGGACGTGACATTGGAGGTTCTATCTTCACGAAGAAAAACATGGCAAAAATAGAAACAAAAATAAAGCAGTAGCTATGAAGGTAGGCAATGAATCGATATTCATATGTACAATTCAAAAATTAGGATGGAATTTAGGAAAGCAATTCATAGAAATCCATATATGAGAAAATTCGAAGAATGCCAAGATCAAAGAGTTATTAATAAAAACCAAAAAGCAAATGGATTGAAATGAGTGTTTCAATCAAAATATGTGTTTTAGTTAGTGTATTGTAGAAAGAGAGAATTATTTTTATTGGAATAAGAGGGGGAAAAAAGTATTTCAAAAATAAATATAAAAAAAGAATTAAAATTATAAAAGAGTCTTTGATAAAAAGAGAAGAAAAAAAAATGGGACATAGTTGAGAGGAATTGTTTTAGATTAAAAGAAACTGAGAAAAAAAATTTTCAAAGAAGCATATTGTGGGGAAAAAAAAAAAAAAGGAAAAGTTGAACTGCCAATGAATATTTTGAGAAAATAAAAAAAAAAAGCAATAAGCAAAAAGAAAAAAGAAAAAGAGAACAACTTTAAAAAAAATAATAATAATAGGCCCCTTTTTGGAAGCAAACAACCAAAAGGGGATTGAACTCTTTTAATTATGTGAATAGATGTATAGACAGATAGATTGAAATGGATTGAAATATACGTTTCAATCAAAATATGTGTTTTGGTTAAATGTGTGTGGGGTGAGAGAGAGAGAATTATTTTAACCGAGCAAGAGGGAAAAAGGTATTTCAATAAAAAAAAATTGGAAAAAAATTAAAATTGTAAAGGAGTTTTTGATAATAAATAAATAAATAAATGGGGACGTATTTGAAAGAAATTATTTTAAATCAAAAGAAAAGGATAAATAAAAATTATTTTAAAGCAGTATACTGTTAAAAAAAAATAAAAAGTTGAAAGCCAACATGTGGCCTCATTAAAAGCAAACAATCAAAAGGAGACTTGGCTCTTTTAATTACGGAAATAGTAGGAAATAGGCTAATATGAAAAGCTTAAGAAAGTATATAGACTAATTTTTAGTTATAGAAATTAATAGGTCATAACTTGTTAAGTTATGGTTTATAACCAGATAAGTTATGGACAAACTTGTCAAGTTATGGTTCATAACCAGACAAGTTATGAACAAAAATCGTGAATTATGGACAATAATTTGTCAAGTTATCATTCATAACCAGACAAGTTATGGACAAAACAGTAATTTGACCTATTTATTAACTTATGTAAACTATTGGCCTATTAATTTTAATTCATCTGAAATCTTGACTTATTTTCCCCTTTCTCCCTTTTAATTATGTGTAGATTGAAATGCATTGAATTGCCGGTTTCAATCAAAACATGTGTTTTGATTAAATGTGTGTTTGTGGTGAAAGAGAGAGAAAGAGAGAATTATTTTAATTGGACTAAAAAGGAAAAAAAGTATGTCAAAAAATACATCAAAAAAGAATTAAAATTGTAAGAGTCTTTGATAAAAAATAAAAAAAATAAAAAAAGAGGGAAAAAAAGGAAGAAAGAGAAAAAAGGAGGTGGCTAAAACATAGGGGATTTACTTTTAATTATGTATAGATAGATATAGATACTAATCATGACGTTGCGTGACATATAGTTATGTCGGGTGCTAAGCTTTGTAATTATTGCTTGTTCGACATTTTGTTATAGGTGACAAATTTAAGGCATAAATTAGTTTATCCAGTCATATGTTCCATCTTGTAATCTATGCCGCGCCATTAAATGCAGGACGTTACATTGGAGATTTTGTCTTAACGAAGAAAAAGATGGCAACAAAGATGCCTAAAAAAATAACGGCTATGGAGGCAAAAGATATTCATAATGCCCAATTGAGAAATAAGGATGGAATTTAGATATGCAATTCATAGAAATTCCATAATGACTAATTCGAAGAATGCCAAGCTCAAAGAGTCGTTATTAAACCCCAACCACAAAACAATCAAAACCAAACCACAGCAACTAGCTAGCTAATTACACAACGAATTAAAAGATAACAGAAAATGTTCATGACTCAAATGGATTAATAAAATCTAATATAGCCTTAGTTGGTGCCACCAAGAACACCCTTGAGCTTCTTAACGGTAGCTTCGTCAAGGAATGTGGTCTTCTCCACCAAAATAGAGGCCAAATCATTAGCAAACAAAGCGAAATCCAAGAGTTGAAGTCCCGGGTATGGGCTGTTGAAGAAAACAAAAGACTGCGCGTGGGTCTTGTGGTCGTTCAACTGAAAATGCAACAACCCTTGTGGGAAAACCGCAATGTCTCCCTTCTTAAGTGACTTCACGTAAGGTACATTGGCCGAGGAAATAAAGCCAACCGTTAATCTCCCATGCGTCACCAAAAGAATCTCGTTAGCCCCCGGGTGGGTGTGGAGTGGGATGACCCCACCTGGCGCGAGGTCCAGCCTAGCCGCGGACAGGCCCAACCCGTTCAGGGCAGCGAATTGGGACACGAAGGCGGGTGTCACGGCAGCGCTTATGATGTTGGTGGTGTTTCCGGGGGCAGCAAGGCCCGAATACACGAAATCATCGGCAGTGACCTTCTTCGGGTCCTTGCAGTGGTATCCGGCCGGGGTGTCCGGGGCTGTTAGGTCCGCCACGCAGAAGTCCTGCACGGTGGCCTTTGAGGGCGACGAGAAGAGGAGAGAGATGGAGAGGCAAAGAATAATGTGAAGCATTTTTTTTTTTTTAAAGCAAGTACTACTATACTTAATTCTCAAGCTTCCAATGGTGGTGTTGATTGGCTTGGGGTGGGTTTATTATATAGTCGTGAGGTTTGAGATAAAAGGGTTTTGTAGAATGAAAGATAGCCACAAATTTTAGTGCATTATTTCGGGTCATATTTCGTGTGGGACTGTAAGCAGCCAATTGCATCCACAACCGGGAATTCTCTTTTTGTTGTTATCAATTATCATCTAGCTAGTCATGCATTGATATAAAACGATTAGACACTTTTTTCAAATTATGAATGGTGTGTATATATTTGACAAAAAACATATATGTGTGGTTAAATGATATAATGGAAAAAGAACAAATTATATATGTCACCAGACTAAAAGTATGCATTGGATCATTAGTATTAAAATACATCATAGGAATTAATACTGTGGTCCAGTATAGTCACATGGGAAGAGAAAAGGAAATTTCGTAAGAGAATTTGACAGCTAAATTCCTAATATTGCGTATAAATTCGCAACTCTTTAATTTGGCCCATTTTCAAACGAAAGGGATTGGACTTCGTATATGTGGACCGTAGAATTCCCTTTCCGGTAAGGTTCGATATTGGAACACATTTAGGAGGGACGGAAACAAAAAAAAGAAAAAAAAAAAGTACTTACAGAGTTATCATTGGTCATGCAAAAATGTTCTGCATGGAAAAAATTTACAGTTAAGAGTCAGTACTGCTTTACGTATTATGCATGGGTAATCACATTAATCCTCAAACAACTGTGGGTATAAATCTGTTTTAAGAACAAAACCAACCTCATGAGCTAGCGCTCGATCTCAAACTCGTCAACCTTCATCGCTCGATCCGCAGTCGGCACCGGAGGCTACTTTCCCTTCTTCCGTTCATGCGCTTCAAAAAGACTGGGTAGAAGAAAGCGCTCTCTTACTGATCTCTCAACTATTTAAGTCTCTGGTTTTCTATAAAGAAAAAAAAAAATAAAAATAAATAAGTAAAATAACTGTCTCACAATATCAGATGTTTTGCAACGGAAATTTGCAAAGAGCTCGATCGGAGTTCTTCAGTTGCTTTGCCACTGCTCTTCTCAGGTAAGCCATACGTTGACCAATGTAGCTTTATATCGAAGCCAATAGCTATATACATATTTTTACTGCCGGATTCCATCTTTATGCTCTGTGATCTTATGAGCTTCTTCTTGAGGTAGAAAGTTGCTTGTTAGTTGGTAGCTTACTTGCTATTTTCTAATCTAAAGTATGGTGTTTTGGTGTATTTCTACGAAGTAGAACTGTAGAAGCAACTTGTTTTCAAAATAACATTTACTATTTGTATGTAACAGAGTTTAAAGAATGCCAAGCTAACGGTCAACCTAGCTACACTACTTTAAGCAAAAATAAATAAATAAATAACCCTAGATACACTACTTTTTCACAAACAATTTAAACTTAATTTATACATAAAAGTCGTACAGGTGAATAATTAGACATCAAAAACTAGTACCATCTGCCTAACTAACACACGTTAGGGCAGTTTAATCATGATGGTGGTGGTGTTTCCAGGCACGCCGACGCCTGAATACACCAAGTCAGCGGCGGCGGTAGCCCACTGGTGTTTCCACGGCTTTAGGGTCTGTCATGCAGAAGTCCCAAACGGCAGAGTGTGAGGGTCAGGAGAAGAGAATATTGGGGCAGTTAATTTTATAGTTGCTCATACTACTTTTTTTTCTTCTCTTTTCTTTTTGTGCGTGTGGTAAAAATGGATGCTAATTTTATTTCAAACTCAAGTCATCAAATAGTACAAGATGAGAAATGAACAAAAGAATAAAATGCTATTTTAGTGCATGGTTTGGGAAAATGTTTGGTGTTAATATCTTTTGATCAAGACCTCCTAGCAAAAAAAATATTTTGTTTTTCATTATGACCCGCAGAAGAGCATTGACCATTCCAATATCCACATTTCCATATCAGGATTGGTTGACGATTTGGTGTACATTCCAAAAATGGAGTATCGCTATCGCTGAACGGTTTAAAAAACACAACAATTATGTTACTACTTACTACTTGAAATATGTTTTAGTTTTTTTTTTTTTTTTTTTTGTTGCTAATCTGATACATCAATATGGGAACAATAGTCCAATAGTACATCACATGTGGAGAGATGGGATATTCCATAAACAGACAATTTCCCAGCTGTAGTTCTAATGTGTGGTAATTGACAACTTTTTTTGTCTCTTTCAAAAGAATCAGCAAAGGATTTCGTTTTTGTGGACTGTATAATTCTCTCATGTGAGGTTTGAATCGTTTGATAAATGGAATAATCATAAAATGCCACAGCTATTGCTTCAAATTTCCTTATAGAGGAGAGTAATATATGGATTCATGTGGTGCACTTTTTGAATTGAATTAAATAGAAAACGAATGAATTATACCAGCTTAATGCTACCATCTATGTGAAGTTTGATACTGGATCGGATTGGAATAATTATAAATTTTTTTATAATAAATTGATTCTTAAAAAACAAGACAACATGTTCAATATATAGTTTTTTAATTAATTTGAAGACTGAAAAGATAAATTTTGTTTGAAAGTGAGACCAACAATCATTAAACTCTAGGATTAATAATCCAAATATTTTAAGTAAGGGCATTAATAATTGCGAATCCTCAAAATTAAAACAATAACACATTAAGATAAAATTTCAATATATTGCTTGATAATAATTTTCTATTAAATATTGTTAACCAAATCTCGATTGTCCTCAAATATGGGCCTATATATTTTGAAAGCATTGCATGATAGTCTTATTGCCAAAAACATTCATAAAAATAAAAAAATAAAAAAAAAATAAAAAAAAATCGATGTATGATAAAATTGTTTTCCATTCATTGACTCCGTTTTATCGTGCAATCGATTCTAATTTTACGATGTTCATTAACAAAAAAATGTTTCTCTCAGCAATTGAAAAGGCAATTTCAAGGAAGAAAAAGAAAAAGGAAAAAAAAACGCTAAAGCAACTCAAATTATTAATGCCCATGTCAATAAACAAGTAAAAAGCTAACTGGCATGCCATTTTTCTTATATATCCTGGACCATCCATAACTTATTTCTCTCGGGATCTGTTGAGGAGCTCACTAGAAAAGGGGAAATAAAATATTTATCTCTTATCCTACATATTTAGCCTTCGACATCAAGAACCTTATTTAAAAAGAGTTACAAGATTAAAAACTTTACCAAACAAAAACTCAAGTGGATAGAATCTTTGTAACAAAGAAACAGAGAGATCTAAGTCTTATAAAAATGTATTAAAAAAAAAAACAAGAAATGCCTACCATTACGTATACCATTATCGTGCTCATGATAGGTTAATAATGTATTATGCTTTTAACATAGTGAAAAGTTGTCATAATTTTGTGTATTATTTATGTCATTCTAAATAATTAGATATAATTGTGATCTATTATTTTCTTTTTATTAATTGACGTTTATTTTTTAGTGGAGTGACATAAATAAATATTTTTTGAATGACAATTATTCGTTAATATCTTTTTTAATGGCAATTGCTTATTAATTGTATATTTTTTTACCATCTTAAGTTGTATTTCTGGTTTTTTCTCTAAACCCAAAACTCTTTGTCAAGCCAACCGATTTATGAAGTAATTATACTACATGGCAAAATTTCATATCTTGAGTTGAAATTTAACAAAATTTTCACAATATTATAAATATAATAAAAATGGCATAATCAGTATTATAATGATGTCACATTTTATGTTATACAATGATATAGTCATTATTTTAATGCTATCAAAATTTTACTATTCTTGTAATATTTTAAAAATTTTGCTATATTTAAATCTTACTATTGAAATTTTGTTGTATGTGTAAATGTGTTAGGTTGAACCTGTTAACATGTCACACTTGTACGGTTGTAGCAGCCCATAGCCCAACCTGCTTTTAGTTGTTCATACCTTACAACAAACATCATAATAAAATTATCTAACTTAATCCTCCCCTATCCTATAAATAAGAAATTTTAGATAAGAGATTTTACATATTTAACGGGGCTTCATAGAATTCTAGGTCTTCCCCCGCCCTCCTTTTCCTCTTCTCATGTTTATCCCAATTTTGAAGAGATCCTAAGAGATTTCTATCTTCATAAGATTTTTTTCTCTTATTTTGTAGTTTTTGTGTTTTCATAATAATTAACAAACATATGTCCACTCAAATCTCATTTCTTTAATGATGATTAGTTTAAGCGGATAAAATATTTAATTTGGTTGTGGTAATCAGTTTAAATTTATTATTTTGTTTATCATAATTAAAGCTACAAGTTTGGACTGGCTCGAGACCCATCACTATTAGCTTAGTCTTAGGCGACCATGCCCGCTTAAGTATTCGAGTCTGGCTGAGATTTCGAGTTTGAAATCTTTTTAGCCGCCCCGACCCTCCTCCCTTCAAGGTTGTGACCAACCCGATCCAGTAAAAAAACAAGCTATTTATAATGGATCATTTGTTATAACAATATTAGTATTTTTTTTTACGATTTATAATTATAATATTTACACCAAGGTCATGTTTGATAGCTTGTATTGTATTGTATAAGGTGTATATTGTTGTGTTGTATTATCATAATACTGTAATGACTGAGAAAATCTCAGACCTTAAATAATACAATTTATGTATTTAAGTCAAGGATTTTCTTAGAAAAATATTATGTGACTGAAGGATTTATGGAATTAATATCCGTATTCCTAAATTCTGTAGCAGATTTCATGTTAAGTTCATGCTTTTGATCGAGTAAATTTGATCGATAAATTCTCGCCGTACTTTAAGGCGGAATAATTTTCAGTACAAGTATAGTTTGAGAATCTTAATTTCAAGAATCTCCAAACACGGCATGATGTTAGCGGCGTATAAAAACAACGCACTGACATTTTAAATAAGGGAAAATTCTTAATTTCCAGACAGCTAGGTTAAAGTCACAAGATAAATACTCATAATGGAAGGGTACAATGTGAGCTCGGGAGTTGAC